GTTTCCATGGAACGGGCACTCTAGCCTTGCTTTGCTCAAGATGGATCTTTACCCGTATCATATTCATTGTGAAGAGACAAGAAATAGCCAGTAATGAATAAACTGACATGAAGGAAAATGTCTCTCTTATTCTTAAATCAATAACTGGAAAGTTGGCATGTCCAAAACAATGAGTTTGGAACCATTATAACAACGTTAAATTGAAACAGTCAATTTCACTCATGCCAAGTCTCTCAAAATGTGCAAGATTTTAAAACATTTTATGAATAAGTCTTGGATGCTCTTTGTGAAAAAAAAAAGCAGAAGGCTATTGGGGATCCTATTAATAGAAGGATGATAATTTAACCTGGAAGGAAAGACAAAATGTAAGCATACTGTTTGTTGTTGCAAGCAACTAATATGCATTCCCAGTGATTTCACAAACAGCAAATTCTTTGAGGGTGAATTTGTTCTTGGGGAGCTGATCAGCTTCCTTACTTGAGATGTCTAGCCCTAGTAGGAAGCACAGTACTTTTAGTATCACTTGCTGAGACATAGTGTATGTGATCTTCTATCCTTTGCAAAGATCTGTCCGCATTTCTCCCCCTACCTCCATGCCAAAGTTCCTTTCCACCGCTTATTTCCCTCATTTTGCTGAATCCTGTGTCAAGGAACTTGACCTCTTCTCCACTTCTGTTGTTCTGCAGGGCTTTCATGGATGTTCAAAAATATTTAAGTACTCTTATAGCACTGTGTTGATTTTCACTGTAAATAGCAAACTGAAGTCAGAGGAATGCCTGAAATTAGGACATCCTAGCTGCTCATGATATATTTTGCACTGTGTAGTTAGTTCATGAGGACTATTTAAAACAGATTCCTCATTAGCATCATATTTTTGCATATTAAATGTTTTATATGGCATTTCTGAAGCTACTATGGGCAATAAGCATAATGGCTTTCCCATGAAAAAATATTTTGCTGATAAGTGTACTAATGAAGGTGTTTTATCTCCTTAATATTGTTTGTAATCATCACATGCTATCCTAACTTTGACTTGTGTGTCTTATCTGTGATCGCCAAAGAGCTCACACTATTAATCTTCCTCAATCTACTATTGGCTTTGTTATGCCAAATTCTGATTTCCATTGTATAGGTGGAAGTAACTTCTTCAATGCTAAATGAATCAAAAGTTGCTTAATCACCTCACTAACTTTTCCAAGGGATTTTGCATAAAAATGCGTACTTTTTCCAGAATTAGTTTCTAGAAACTACTTCAACACAAAGAGAAAGAGCACTTTTCCAGACTTGTTCACCAAGAAGCAGAATGGGCGGGATAGAAGAGCAAGTGGCATGCAAGCTGACCTCTACCGCTCATGGTTAAAATCATAGAATCATAGGATAATCCAAGTTGGAAGGGACACATAAGAATCACTGAGTCTAATTCCTTGCTCTACACAACACCATCAAAAATTCAAATGGTAGGTGTGGGAGCGTTGTCTAGATGCCCTTTGAACTCTGGCACTTGAGGCTGTGATTACTGCCCTGGGCAACCTGTTCCATGCCCACCAAACCCTGGTGCAGAACCTGTTCCAAATACACAAGCTGGTCATCTCAACACTGGGCATTTGGGCAGCAGCTGAAATAAGGAGTTGGTCTATAGGAATGCCAGGGCAGTAGAACATTTGCGTGGTCTGGTCTCAGGCAGGAGGCAGGCTAGGTAGGACATAGCGAAGTAGATTACATCTGCAGACATGAGAGGGTGTTTAATAGGTTCTAGTTCTATAGAGAGATGATTTAGCACCACATAAAGCAAATAGATGGTTTGTTGAGGTGTATCAGTAGGAGTACTGAGTCACAGCTCATCATCTGGAAAACCAGAAAGTTTGAGTGCTACAACAACCCAGCAGTTGCTGTGTATATTCTGGGAGCAAAGGGAAAGTGACAAGTAATGCTTTTTGGAGCATATTATAAAAGAAGGGGTTTTTATCTTCTGGATGTTTCCATCCTGTAAGCTTTCCTGTCAGATTTGAGAGAACAGTATTTCACTTGGCTTTCAATTTGCCTCTGAATTCTGGTAACAATGGCATTTATTCTTCCAAATCTGAGTTGCTCAAGAAAAAATGTCAGAGCTGTTTGGGAGGTGGCTGGGACAGAGGAGTGAAAAATAGTGAGTCAGTGCATGAATGAGCTGGATTTCTGCATCTCACAAACTCAGGCAAACAAATAGGATAGAACCTGATTAATCCTCATTGTGAAGTGACCAAATGTTTGCTTTCCCAATTTGAAAAATCAGAAAAAACAGTGTTTCTTTTCTGATGGGCTGGCTTTCAGACCAGCTTCATGTGAGACCCCACAGGATTGATGACTTCTCTTTCTAAAGAGCCCATGCAGCAGACATGCTTCACTGATAAAGACCAGAACTTTCTTATAGAATTCAATACATTCATAATAGTTGTAGGAAAGACACCTGCAGACAGAGCGGTGTATTTATGGGGGGTTTAGTGGAAAATGGCATGGTTCTTTTAGACCAGAGCTACTTCAGTTCTGTCTCTGCTGCTGATGCACTGTTTGAAGAGACACAGTGCAACAAGCCCATCCCTGAAGGCTCTGACAGACCTCATGTAGGTAACTATGGAATTGTAGAGTGCCATTTACTGGCCAGGAACTCTTCTAATCAAAATTTAGTTGCAGAGGGAAGAATGGGAAACCTATCATTTTCAGTATATCTCAAGTATTATAATGTCAAGGAGTGGGAGTATAAACATCCAATCTAAAGTTAACATAGTTATTATTACTTATTAGATGTTAAAAATTAGGTTTAACAGCAGTCTTTGCAAGCAAGGCTACGAACAACAAATCTTACGTGCTCACATTGACTTATTGTAAAAGAATGCTGCCAGATGGGTACCTGATCCTTGTGGGTCCCTTCCAGCTTGGGATGTTCTATGATTCTGTGATTTCTGGAATGAAGGGACAGGACCTTTTACTTGGCTGGAGCATAGTCAAAGTTCTCTTCTTGAATGCATGTACCAACAGCTATCCTCATCTCCGTGGGATTATTTATACATTTTTAGCAGAAGATTTGTTTGATTTTAATCGTTCTTGCATCAAGCACATCTGCACAGCTAGAAGGTTGAGTAATGAGGTGAAATTAAATCTTTTAGACTTTTTTTTTTTTTTTTTTTTTTTTTTTTTTTTTCAGAAAAGCACCTTTCTGTCTTTCTGTGTTTCTATTAGAAACATGTCTTCTGTTCGCTACTTTAACTACCTACAGAATTTTGGTTTATCACTCATTAAACAGTCAGATGGTCTGGCACTTCACTTGTGAGACACAAGGAGAGGAACTGAAACCAGCCTTAATTCTGCAAAGGACCAGACAAAGGCAAGGTTTTATTTTTGTAGTTCACTTCTTAATATCATCAGACTACAGCGTGATACCAGCATCTGTGAGAGGTCTGCGTGGCTTTTTTGTTTGCTTTGAAAAGTTTAGATCTTACAGAGAATCACAGAGTAGAATCATAAAACCGTATGATTGGAAGGGACCTTAAAGGCCATCTAGTCCAATCATGCAATGAACAGGGACACCTACAGCTACATCAGGTTGCTCAGAGCCCTATCCAGCCTGATCTTGAGCGTCTCCAGGGATGGGGCATCCACCATCTCTCTAGGCAATCTGTGCCAATGCCTCACCACTCCTATTATAACTACTTCCTTATATCTGATCTAAATCTCCTTTCTTCCAGTTTGAAATAATTTCCCCCTTGTTCTATCACAACAGACCCCGCTGAAGAGTTTAAGCATAACATTTGAACTGAATGCAGAACTTTAGTGAAATGTTTGGGGAAGGTAAAGATGGTCCTAGCCACCATAGATGCTACTGCTCTCAACAGAATGAATGCAACAGATTTTTATATGACAAATTTTAAAATATGGGTCCATATGACTGCATCAAAGCACTGAGTTCCTCCCAGCACTCTTGAAAGTTGGCCGGTCTGCCAGATCGCACTCATAATGTCAGTATCACAGTGAACAAACATGTGATCAAGGAAAGATGCAAACCCAATCATTGAAATGCAGAGCTCGTTTCCAACATTCATATACAACAGGCAAAAAACAGAGAATAAAGGAACAGTCAGCACAGGACAGGCTGCTCTTCCCTTGGTGCCAGAGCCGTGACAGCACGCACAACCTGAACTGCTGCAGTTCTGCTTAGGATACGTCTTTTCAACACTTATGTCTGTGCGTGTACCTGCTGCTTTGGCACCGTGCGCTGGCTTCTGAGAGCCGACCTCCTCCAGCGAGGTCATCCCTCACCACCAGCTGCCGGAGAGCCGCCAAGAACCGGGCTTCCAGCATCTTCCCGAACACGCACAGGGCGATAGAAATGCGGGCACCTCCGGTGCTGGGCTGGGGGCTGCGCGCACAGGTGGGAGCGAAGCCGCCGCGCCTCCGGAGGCCGCCCCGCTCCCCCCCGCCCGGGGCCGCTGCGGAGCGGCTGTGGGCGGCGCGGGGGCGGGCGCTGCGTGGGCCGCGACGGCGGGGCGCGGACAGGTGGGCTGGCGGGGGGCGGGCCGCGGCCATGTGTAGGCAGCGGAGCGGCTGCGGAGCGGCGGCGGCGGTGGCGTCGGGAGCCCCGGCCCCGCGATAAAAGGGAAGGGGCTGGGCGGCGGGCGGTGCGCGTTGCGGCACTGAGGGGGGGGGGAAGAGCGTGGCTGGGAGGGAGGAAGCGAGCGAAGGAGCCGCCGCCTCCCGCAGGAATCCCGGGCGGGTGGCAGTAGCAGTAGTAATAGCAGCAGCAGCCGGGACGCGCGGCTCCCCCTGGCTGCGCGGCGGCGGGAGGCGGGTGAGCATCGAGAAGCGGCCGCCGCCTCATCCTGCGGCAGCGGCCGGCTCTGCCCGGAGGACGCAGGTGGGTCCGCGGCGGTCGGGCTGAGGGGTGCGGCGGGGGCCCGGACCGGGGGAGGGAGGTTGTGGGGCGGTGCCCGGCACGCACCTGAGAGGGCGGGGGGTGTGGGGGGAGCCGGAGGATTACCTGGGACGAGGCTTTGGGGCACAGACAGGCGACGGGCACAGACGGTGCTTGGCGTTATTGCTTTTAAATCAACGCGTTTATTGAATTTTAGACGATTGACGAGCATCTCATCTTTAAAGATGCGCTTTGCGAGAGCGTTCTTGGAAAATCACGTTTGATTTCAGTTTCTATTCCAGTCTGCGGCTTTCTGATTATTATTATTATTATTATTTTCTTTCTTCGGCTGGCGTAGCGCCGCGTGCGGGGCTCTCCCCGATGGGCGCAGGTCCGCGAGCGGCGGCACTCGCACACACGCGCGGCCGTGGGGAGGGGAGGAGAGATAAGTTACTTTCTGTCTATGAAAGACTTGGTAGTGTTTTCCCTACCATAGCCTCGCTGGGCAGTGCGCTCACGGTGGCTTCCAGAGAAAACGTAAGAGCCATCCTTCGCTGGAACAACGGGGAGTACACGCAGACGTAACGCTAGCGTTCCCCCTGAGATTGCGTTCCGGAACTTCAGTATTCGGCGAAACCCCTGTTCTAAAAGCTTTGCTGTTTTCCAGGAAGAGTTGAGTTTATTTTATCGTATCTTCAGGAAATGGTTAACGTGGGAGTTCTGGGTACTGTGTATTTGGTTTGGGTGTTGGGGCGTAATTCGGCGGAATCTGTGGCGTGCTGCTCAAACTGCAGTGACCACAGAATGAATCGAGAGTCGTTCATCGTTTTAAGAAGTTGAAGATCGCTTTAACTCTGTGATATGTCCCTCTGAATGTTGGCTTCTATTGTATGCATTCTTCACAAGCTGTGTAGGGGCAGCTAAACCATGCGTGAAGCTTACATCTCTGTAAAACTGTGTTCGTTTCTCAGATGGAAGAACAAATCAAATCAGCTTTCATATTTACCAAGTAGTGAAGTGCAAGTGTGTTTGTATTCCCACTGCAGAAATCCCCCCTGCTGTATCTAGGTGTCTGGGTGTCCATAAGGCAACAAGAGATACGTAGAAATCCGTACGGCTCTTAACTGTCTTGGAGAGTTGGAAGTGTTTTGTTGGATTAAATTAGGATTTTTCATCCTTCCTGAAACTGAGTAAAGAGAACATTACAAATGACTCAATTCCAGGATTTTAACACTTTTTTTTTTTTTTTTTTTTCTTTTGCCAAGGGGAATACTTTGGAGTGGTTGTGTCGGAAAGGCAAGTGAGCTGAAATGTTGTGGTAGTAGGATTTGCAGCATTAAATACGGCTCATTTCTCTTGTATGACTACAGGTGGCAGTGTAGAAGCCAAGAACAAAAATTGGCAGAAATTACATTCTGTGTACAAGAGAATGAAGAGTATACTCATGACTAAGCACAGGAACCTGGAAAACCACAGGTATGTGAAGTGATTCATACAACTGCCTACGGTGCCCCCAGTATTCCTGGCGCAATAGGTATTCTTGGATAATTATCTCTTACTGTGACTGCATTAATGATAAGGAAAATGCTATGTCTGATTACTGAAATGAGAAAATAATAAAATACTTTGAATGCAGTGTGTAATGAGAGGTGGGATTTTCAGACTTCTTATGGTGTATGTTAACTATGAAGAATCAGAGCAGAGTTAAGCTGCTTGAAAATTGAGTTAATTTCCTTCTAAATACCTGGATTCTATATTGATAAAGTTGAGTGCAGTTACATCCCTGAATATGCTTGAAATGGAGAAATGTCAAATATTATAGGCATGGAAACCTTCCTGTAGAATCTCTTTATGAACAATGAATAGGAAGCACAAGGAGAATGAGAGATGTAAATAAAGATGTCATTTCAAATACTCATCTGGGTGTGATGCTTTATAATGCTCATTTCTGCTGGGGAGAGGTGGGAGGGAAAGGCAGTGTGTAAGAGCCCATGATTAGCTCTCATCCTTCTAAGAAAAGGGAAGTACCAGGCTACCTGATCTAAATAATCTCTCATTAATTAGGAATATTAGAATACAGCAAAACTTTTCTTGTACACATATGTCATTGTGGACAGCCTGTAGAAATGAGTCCATGGGTTGGCATTCCAGGATTCCTGGGAAGCCAGGGAGGATGGGGTGAACTCAGAGCTGGAGGGGTTTTTGGAACTTGTGAATGAGAATCTATCCTGGTAAGAAGTGATCAGATGCTGCCACCACTGTGTTTATAAATATGTTTGGCTTTTTTTTTTTTTTTTTATACACTTTAGGAAGGCATTCTGTCTAAACCTTTAAATTGCTTTTGAGAGAACATGGTGTTCCCACAAGTTCACAGATGACCAAGTCACCTTGTACAAAGTGAGAACACATTTGCAGACAGTTTATTTCATTGACCGTCATGTTATTGCTCATCACTTGCTTCTGTAAGTTGACCTGCTGAGGCATAGCTGGGGAGGAGGAAGTATGCAGCACTGAGGCCTGTATGGCCATGTAGTTTTCATTGTTGTAACTTATTACACAAAACAGCTAAGCAGTTCATCCAACTTAAATGTGGCTATTCACAAAGGTTTTGAAAAATTTTTCTGATGTAATACAGGTCAGTATATGCTTATGGCTTTGTCAAACAGTGCTGAGCTCATTAGTTTATGCCAGTGTGTTGAGAACAGAAAATGAAACTGTTACAGATACAAAATTTTAATGTAGTCTCCCATTACATCAAGTGTTTGCCAAAATATTAAATAAAACTGTTAACTAAGCAACGTGCTGCTTAAGAGTTCAATCTACAGACACTTCTCTGTGCTAATTAGGAAGTATTGACATCAATGAATGAAACTACTTGTTAAACTGCCTTCTAAAGTCTATAGCAGTTATGTGTTCATAAGATGATTCATAGCATTCAGCAAGTTGTGATGAGTTTCCCTGCCATTACTGGAGATTATGAAGTATCTACTGTATTTGCACTACTTTTTTTTTTTTTTTTTTTTTTTTAAATTAGCTCTAATGGTGGAAAGGGGAATTTTCTATCAACTGAAAGATCAGGCCTATTTTATGAATTCATTAATTACTTTTCTCTTTATTGTATGGTGCAATCTATCATTAACAATAAAATGAAATGTTTAATCATTTTGTCTATAAATACAGCTGTGTGTGCATGAAACTTTCAGGACTTAAGATATTCTTCAGAATTGTGTGAATCATGTCAAGTATGCTATGTTGTATTAGTTGTAACTGAAAGACAAGTTTTCAGTAAGAAACATGAATTTGACATCTAAAACAGCAGAACCAGTAGGTGCTGCTCTTCTTAAGGATACTACAGATATTGCACCTTAGAAAACATCATAGAAAACTGTCCAGTGATTGTTTTGAACTGAAAGCTATGGCTGATTATGCATTTTTGTTGCCTCAGAACTGTGCAAGCCCCTCAAAGCAATCAGTCATTTCACACTAAAATAACAATGAGTGTAATCTGTTAGACTACCAAGTAGGATTGCTTGACTCTCAGCAAAAATGTTTGTTAACATAGGACCATGTCTGAGGCCATTTAGTTTAGGCACTTTAGCTACTCAGACTAATGAGATTGGCTCATTGTCAGCTCTCCAGTTAGAAAAGGGTAGCATTTTATTAATCTTGGCGTTAATACAGCTATTAAAACAATGATATAGATAGCTACAGCACTGGAAGATACTCATTGTAGGCTATTATAACTGAGGGAGACTCTTGTGGAAGTCACATGCTAAGTACATGTATACAGTAAGTATCCTTAGCTAGCAAATGTGTAAAATAAAGCTATGGGGATGTAGTCCTTCAGCCATCTCTAGGTTGGGTGCCTCTGAGCTTATTATACAAGTGTATCCTAATGCAGAAGGATACTGAAATTTTAAGAAATGATACCGAAATTATATTCTGTAGATGATACCTTTCTTTTAGGTGATGGCCCAGTTTCCTTATTCTCTAAGAATACTCTTCCATGGTGTTGATCTTCAATGACAGGAGTGGATCTCCTGTTGTAGTAAGGTGTAGTTAAGTAGAGTGCAAGTGGATTTATGATGCTGAAAGGGAGCACATCATAGCCTTCCAACTGCATGCCAAACTGACTGACACCAGGAGAAGACTAGACTATCTCAGTACCTTATATGAGGATGGAAAGTGCATATTGATCAAGAAGATGCAACCTTTGGGGCTGAAAGTCCTTAACGCTGCTACATGTTGGATAGAAGTTGACAAAAATTATAGAAAACAGTGTAGAATTGCTTGAACAAAATTAAGACCTGTTTAGAGAGAAGCCTGGAAGGATGGATGGTCAGATTAAAGTCGAAGAGTTGCTATGCAGCATCTAGAAATCTAGAACCAGGTATTTAGTCTCTCCATTTTATTTTTTTAAGTTACTGATGGTATAGATGTGCCAGAGATAAGCTAGCAGGATGCACATTAAGATGTCTGAAAAAGCCTGGTAAGAGGACAGGCCAAAGGAATAAGATACTTGCAGCCAGTCTGGAAATTAAAGGTATTGATCAGAGATCCAGAACAAGTAAATCTAACAGCTTCTTCTCTGATGCTTTAAAAAATTACAAAAAAAAAAAAAAAAAAAAAAAAAAAAAAAAAAGCTTGGATAAGCAGCAGAATAGTCTATAAGATATATATATCCTTCAAAAACTTGTCTGGTCACTTCTGCTATTGCCTCCTAAAAGAAAAGTAATAAATGTGAAACTTGGATGAATTCAGAACAAAATACACAGTAAGGACAGTGAAAGTCTGAGTGATTTATAAAACATCAAAAAGCTTGTCAGAAGTCATCTTTAAAAACATCAGAAAGGGAAGAGCCATTGGGCCAATAGATGGCTGAGAATTGTAGTGCTCAAAGAAGATTGCACTACACTAGAGTTACTGATGTGAGTTGTTCATATTTGCTGTGCAGGGATACTGAATTCGCCAAAGAGCTGTAGATCTCCCGGTGTAAAATACTGAACTAGTGGGTATGGTGCTTAGTCTTGCAGAATTGCTTTGTGCTAGTGGAGTTGAAGTCAGTAAATGTGATGTCAGTTTTTAAGAAGGCTACCAGGCAGCTTATAGGAAAGAACAGGACAAGTATGTCATTCATACCATCCAGTTTGCTAGTGACTGTAACAAAGAAGAGAAGTAATGGATCTCTGGGCAAATTTGCTCTATCAGGAGAGAGTCAGCACTGTCTCTGTAGAGCTGCTTCATCAGTCTGGGTTCTCTGAAGACACTGATGTTGTAAGTGTAAAATCTAGCTGATGCAGCAAGCTTGGGTTTCCAAAAGTTTTTTTGAGAAAGACTCACCTATGGTGCTTAGCAAAATGAAACTGCTATGACATAAGAGGAAAGTCCTCTCCTAGACTTACAACTCGTTGAAAAATAGGCTAGGAATAAATGATATGTTTTTATAGCAAGGACAGCAAAAATAAAAGTCAATTATGAAGAACTCAGGAGGGATCTTGTGATACTTGGTAACTAGGGATGAAGTAGTAGATGAAGCTGATACTGATAAGATGAAGTAATGCAAAGGACAACAATCCTACTATTTACTAAAGGAAGATATTTAGTAGAGAGCTTGCCTCAGTAAATCCAAGCACCAGTTAATTATTCAGAACTGTTACTAAGGAAGAATAGCAGAGTAACAGAACAGAAAACTGCTTTGCAGTTTGTGAACTCCATGCTTTGTCTTGACCTCTGCGTGCAGTTCTGATCCCTGTATTTAAAGGAAGGGGTGATGAAAAGGGGCTTGGTGGTAGAAGTAGAAATGGGTGGCATGATGATAAAGAGCAATTAAATAGCTTAGTAATATTCAGCTGTACAAAGAAACAGCTGAAGGTGAAAATGATAAAAATCTATGTAGGAGCATAATGGAAAAGGTGAGTAGGTTATGCTCAGTAACCATCTCCTGTAGTACAAGACCCAGAAGGGATAAAATAAAATTATCAGGTGGCAGATTCAGAACAAAATAAGAGGTTGCGTTTTTCTTGCACCAAGTAGTTTAACTGTGAACCACTAGAAGTTCAGCTGAGTTTGGGCATCCAGTACAAAAGCACCATCTCATGCTTAAAAGAATAAGCCACAGTTTCTTGAGAGCAGGGAGGATCGTGAGGTGCTTTCCCTGTTTCAATGCATTTCCATGGACCTCTGTTCCTAACCTCTGTGAAAGATGCAATATTTGGGATAGGTGTATCTTTGGTTTGGCTGAATACAGCAGTTAATATGTAAAACAAAACTAGTAGCAGTCCCTTGGACAAAGCACTGACTATATGCCTCTCCTGATACACTAAGGACATTTTCTTTATTTTATTAGGGCTAATAACTTCTTAACTGCTTTTGTTTTAAGACTACTGGTCCTCGTTGTACCAAATTGATACTTCAAGTTTAGTGCCCATGTGATGGACGTGATATCTCTTTGTTCTGAGGTGCCAGTATTCAGTGCT